TCTCTCTCGCTCTCTCTCTCGCTCTCTCGCTCTCTCTCGCTCTCGCTCTTTCTCGCTCTCTCTCGCTCTCTCGCTCTCTCTCGCTCTCTCGCTCTTTCTCGCTCTCGCTCTCTCTCGCTATCTCTCGCTCTCTCGCTCTCTCTCGCTCTCTCGCTCTCTCGCTCTCTCGCTCTCTCTCGCTCTCTCTCGCTCTCGCTCTTTCTCGCTCTCGCTCTCTCTCGCTCTATCTCGCTCTCTCGCTCTCGCTCTCTCTCGCTCTCTCTCGCTCTCTCTCGCTCTTTCTCGCTCTTTCGCTCTCGCTCTCTCTCTATGCTACAGCACAGATATTTGTCAGCTAAATTATTGCTAATAATGTACCACTGCTGTAAAGCATAAACCATCTAAATGAATTAGGACAGCAAGTGATGACACTGAAGTGCCTCTGACCCACAGGTCGTAGGGTTCCAATCACAATGGAGACAAGAATTTCGAGACTACCTCCATACCAATGTCGAGTTCAGTCGCGGTCTGGGAGAGAATTCTAGCGACCTGCTGCTCTGATCGGAAGTTTTCCGCTGTTTCTCCGATCAAAGCCAAGTGAATGCCGTGAGACGTACTATTACAAAAGATCTAAGGACGAAGTACAAGAGCCCAAGGACCGCGTGCGGGTTTCCTTCCTCTTCCTTGCCCTACTTACTTACTTACTTGCTTCTTACTTAAGCTTTTGCGATAAAAGAAATCAATACACTCACGGGTCTAGGCTAATTGACCACAGAAGTTAATGTGGTCTAAAAAATGAATTAATAACTCATATAATGCTCTATAAGAGTACGTCGATGGGAGTTTAACATCTACATTAAATTTTTAAAAAAATATAAATTTATAATTTATCACGTGTCTTCAGTAAAGTACTACATATTACCAAGACAAATAAATGAGTGCATTATACATTGTGCTTTGTTAATATATTGTATTAGTTTCTTTTGCATACTTACGGAGGAAATGGATGAATTCTCGTGGGCTGTTAGTATTATTTGAGGTGCATCCAATGAAATTGGAGTTTACCAACTGATGGGTAATAGTCTAAGAGATTTTATACTCTCGTCCAGTCGGTGGCAGATTTGCGACATCATTGGTGTTTGACCAATGCATAATAAAGTACAAAGAAACATTTTGTATCCGTACATGATCCGTCACTCTCGTCTGCATAACGCAGCCTAACAATCAGGGCGAAATAGCCATTCGTGTAACTTCGTTGTTTTAAATTGTACACGACACGTTCATTGCCAAAAAGTGATGTTCGATCCACTCGTGCATCTTAGAAATTTGTAAAATACATTCTGAGACAGCCTGAATATGCGTCACACGGTGGAAGAAACGAAGCAAAATCTTTCTGGAAATATGTAATCATTTTGACTGATTGATTGTTTATGGGGTGCGTCACCTAATAGGACCTGTATTGTTGCTCCTCCTAATACTGGTGCCGTTAGTGTATTACATGTGTTCATCGCGGTATCGCGGTGATCTTTCAGCGCAGGACGCGAAATCCGACGCCGACGTAAACGTAGGGGGTGGGTTTTCCCCAATCAGGTATCGCGGGGCCCCAGCTGGGATACGCTCTATTCTCCCAATTGGTCTCCCGGCATGTGTGGTAGTGTAGGGCATGTAAGTGTACGTGTGTATTTGGAAGGGGTGAAGATAGGACAAGAAAGAAATCAGAGAAACCACGGAAAATTAGAGCCGCCGTTTAGTAGCTAGAGCAGCCGTTCTAGCCGGTCGCTAGAATTCTCTTCTGGACAGCGGATGAATTTGACACTATCTATCTATCTATCTATCTATCTATCTATCTATCTATCTATCTATCTATCTATCTATCTATCTAATGTTGAAAATTCCGTTACCGGCGGTCTCCGAACACTCTCGGACACAGTTTATCATTTTAAAATATCCATTTTGCCTTTCAATAATATCATCATAATCAAATTGTCATTTGTTCGTATTGTACGTATTTAGGTAGATTTTTCGTTTGTGGAGAATATGGAAAGTGGCGTGACACCCCAAAGAGAAAGAACATTTGGAATGACGCCAGGAGAATTGGCAACCCTCCATACACTTCAGCGAAGGAGCCGTGCCTTTGTCAGTACAAAACAACGGTCGCTAGTCGACTAAATTTTGACTGGGAAAGGAATCTCTTGCAGAGTTGCGGTTTGTCTTACGTCCGCTGGATTTCATTCTCTTTACACTAAGGGCTTCTTAGGTCTTCTGCTCTATGCCTGATGTTCCGTTAAAATCAAACTGGAAATCCCTATGAATCTAGGTCGTATTTTAATATATTGTGTATCTGTAGGTGTGTTCTAAGTATTACGTTTGTTCATGTTTTAATAATTTACATTTTTGTATCTTTCTACTTCAGTTATTACGTGGCAGACTTAATGTTGCCTTAGGTAAACGAAAAGTGATATATATTTGGAAAAAAATATTCTTGGAATATATTAATCTCACTAGTAATCCTTTTGTTTAGAAATCTCAGTCCAGTGAAGTGCATTTAAATAAAGGGTGCCATGTTAATCATCTAGTAATTTTAGAACCTCTTGCCGTTTTGTCCCATTTTCTTTGAGCGCTACTTGGAGCAAAGATAGAATAGTTTCGTATATCGTCCATTTTTTTGTATTCCGGTATTTTCAAAGGGAAAATTAAAACAATAAAATGAATCCATACCTTATGTCATTCGTTATGACATGTTATATATAAGTCAGTGCATGTTTTGATTCATTGTATTTGGTACCTTTATGTAGTATTATACTATATTTAACAAACACGTCAATGCTTCTTATGAATGTACAGACAATGTTTTTTATGGATGAATAGCTTCTTATGGATATAGAAACACGATATGACAGGACATCTAACCCTTAGTTAATTTTCGTAATTTCTGATGTGTGAGAGAGTATGCATGCTAGTATGCTAGTGTCAGTCATTATTGATTCTCTGTAATAATGGCGAAACAATTAAAGTATAGGTTAAATGACATCAAACAATAACTATAAATAAATATTTTATTTAGAGCAAAATCTCTAAAACATTAAAAACCCAAACTAGTTTCGGAAGTATTTTCCCTTCCTATAGCAAGAAATATAAGATAAAACAAAAAGAATGAATAATACGTAAATTTTGTTATTAAATAGACAAAAAATCTTGATGCAAAACATTTAAAAGACATAGTTGTGTGGTCATTAATTTAAAGAAGTGGTAAAAGACTGACCGAAAAAATGTATCAGATTTGGTTTACTGCTAAGTGTGGTTACAGGGAGATATTTCGTATCTGATGTATAAGAATACCTCTCCTATTTAAAATAGATTTTACAAGATGATGTTAAATTTAAATTTATGCTTCTAAATATGTGTTTGAAATTATCTGTTCAAAAGCCAAGCAAAGCAAGATAATTATATAGGAATATTAAGTTCGCCTCAGAAATACGAAACCCAGGTTTGTAATTATTCGAATATTTCAGTTTCACTAATTTGAGTGTGCTGAGGCTATGTGGAAATTGAAAATGGAAATGTTTACTTTAAAGGCGACCTTATATGTTCAGTATGATCACGTATCTGATGGCTGCAACTGAACCTGCATTTTTCGGTTTGATTGATTGATTGATTGATCTCGTAATATAATAGCAAAGCATAATTTTTTTACTGTGCCGTGAGTGTCCAATATCACGGGGATCACCAATTATGTTTTCAATGCTCAACTTTCAATGTTGAGCTATAGTAAAGACCGACACTGCTTTTCATTTCCAAGCTCCAACCCCCGATCCCCTAACTGACTCTGATCCCTATCTTTTACCCGACACCCGAGACTCCCGACACCCGAGACTCCCGACACCCGAGACTCTCGACACCCGAGACTCTCGACACCCGAGACTCTCGACACCCGAGACTCTCGACACCCGAGACTCACGACATTCGAGACTCTCGACACCCGAGACTCTCGACACCACCCCACATATTTAGAACTGGGGACATTTAGTACGTTTACTGCGACAGAATCTGAAAACAATTTAAATGCTAACTCGCGCAATGGTTAATTGGTTACTTAATTTTTGTATTTTTATTATTTTTTAGGTAAGTTCCAGTTCTGCTGAATCTGCTTCGTGCTGGAAGAAAACGACGCTGAATTGGTCTCCAGATTTCACAATAATATGTTCACCTCCTTGGAATGTAAGTTTTCTGCTCCATAAATGCTTTTTCTTGATTATTTTTTAGGATAAAACATTTTTAAAATATTTTTCTTGACAAGCTAATGATAAACGTTTAGTATGTTGTTTGTTGCCTTAGAATAGCGCAAGCTGGCATATTTTGAAACTTACATACATCATATCCATGACATTAAATATCTTATTAAATTTTTTCTTCATTTACGGTATTTGTATAATGCATGTATGCACAAAGATCAACTGCTTGATACACGTAACTATGAAAACATTTCCTCTCTAGGAAGTAAACTCAACTAATAAGTATCTTGGTCCATTTTTATTAATTTCAGAGGATGTTGATTTGTTTCCAGTTGTTTAATATTCACAAAGGTAATTAATGCCAAAAAATGTATGCATTTCGGAACCGAATTAAAACATGAATAAACATAACATACCTCTCTCGGTCAGGGCACTCACTTTCAACAGGGCCTTTTGAGAAGGAACGGTAGTTTGGATAACTACTTTTTCTGCACAGATAATTACAGAGTTGAAACTAACAGTAGAGTCAAACATTATTCTTATTTTGTTGTCATTCCTTCTTCTTTTCCATACTAAATAACATTTTCTGTGCATTTTTATTTTTTATTGAAGTTTAGAAAGCAATTTTGTATTTATGTGTTGGGCAACTTCATGACTGCTTATTATATTAACGGCATACGATGGACTGATTTGTGAGGTGTACGTCTATTATAATTCACAAATAACAACACTGCGATCATACTTTACCTATTACGTTTAACATGTTACGATGGTGAAAAAGAACATTTCGACCTTTTAAAAAAGTACTCAACAATTGTTAAAACATCAGAAACATATCACGAAATGTTACGTTTTTGGGCTCAGTATACAGTAGTGGATAAATAATTGTTTAAAAGAAGATATAAAGCAGAATAAAGAAGCCACGTGACAATAGCATGTCTAAAGATTAGAAAAACTATAACAGTAAATAACATCTTTGTTCGGTTATTAACGGAGAAGTCTCCTCCAGCCAGTGGTCCTCACAGTCTAAGGTAGGATGTGATTCAATATGGCAAGGGACGAACGTTACACATCTTGAGACTAATGAGAAAATTAAGTAACAGTTTTATTTTGAATTACGTTTTATTAACATTGTCTAGTCTAATGTTGAAATCTCTGAAATGAGTTATGCTCCTCCCTCATTGGCACATCTGTCCGAGTATTTATTTTAACGATGGCGAACTAGAATGACTCTGTTTACGAACAATGAGGCTGCGATATATTTGTATGTTAGTCAACGAACACCACAAAATTCGACGACAATAAATAGCGTAAACAAAGAATGACGTTATTTGTGAATTATAATAGGTGTACACCTCACAAATCAGTTCATCGTATGCTGTTAATATAATAAACAGTCATGAATTTGCCCAATACATAAATACAAAATTGCTTTCTGAACTTCATTAAAAAAATAAAAATGCAGAGAAAATGTTATTTAGTAGGGAAAAATGCAACCCACATTAAACAAACATGCAATTAAAAATATTTATTTTTATTACACAAATTTTACTCTTCTGATGTCCTGTTTTTTTACCTTACTTAATATGGCCTGTAAGTCTATAGAGGCGTGTGACCTCTCTACCTTTGAGAGCTCCCTGGTATTTGCCCCTACCGTTGCTGAAGGCAGGTACAAAGCACACCCCTCCCACTCTAAGGTGGTGGGAAAACGGGAGTCAGTCAGGAAGACTCGCATAAATCGATCAAGTATTCCACAATAGTATAAAAACAAACAATCAAAGAAAATAAATAGCTCTAATTGAAATATGGTACAGTTCATTTTACTCTGTTAGATAGGTGTGCTATGAATGGCATAAACCGTTATACTATTTTATTACTTTTATTTTCTTACTGAGAGAAGCACGTGAAGAGCTGCTACGGTATTTGTCGGTAATTATGTCAACTCCCTCGAACAAAAACAGTGAATGACGCATTAGCTGTTCTTTATTTTGCCTACAACTATAATCGTTGCGAATTTGTACTTTTGGATGATTACAAATTTTTGATTTGTAAGTAATTATTAAATTTAAAAACAACATCCTTATTCGTCTGCGCTGAAGCATAATTGACAAGGGTAATAAATTTGGATAATGATAATGGTAATAAATTTGGAAAAATCGTCATATATTTGCCGTTAAAATGAGTATGTGGGATAGGAGAAATAGCTTCCAAATAATTTGATGACGTTTAAACATCCCTGATACGAGCGAGTGGATTTACTGTTCATACTAGTTCGACATTATTCACGGAGCCAGATTTCTGGAACATCCTTTTGAAACTAATATTTTTTATTTTTGAATCACGGATCATATTTCATTATGGATGTTCACTTTGCGATGCGGTTACACAATTAAAATTTGGGATATATTTTCCTGGTGCGAGTAAGAGTTGAGTGAACACGGCAAAAGATATCCAATAGTCAATACAATGTTCTTTGTCGTTTAGATTGATAACATGATATATCAGCTTTAGCCTTTTAACGTGAGGGAACGCGATAAGAACTGCGCGTCGGGACATGACGTGAACTAGAAAGTCGAGGCCGGTAGAAGTTACGGAAACACTTTATAATGGTGAAGACATGACGTTAAGTGCAGGGTCGAGACGAGATGCTACAAGACTACATCAAACTTTCGCGTGAAGTCGGGTCCAATCTTCGTCAGTTGCTTTCGTACCCCATCAGAGCAGTGCTTCCCTACCTTTTATACATCTTACTACTTTTAAACTCACATGACGTGTCTCGGTAATTTTTGGGAAAACTATTTTTTTATTAAAACATTAAAGTTCAGGGTCAGGGTATAGAAAATATTTGTTAAGAACTGCGATGTTTTTCCATTATTTTGCAATTTGATTATTATCATAAGTGTTGTGAGAATATCAAAAATTAGCTTTAAGTATTCGAATATTCAGCACTTTGTAAATCGTTTTGAAAGTGAGAAAGCTTTATAGTAATATTAATAGCTCGTATGATGTCTCACACAGGGTAAGAGCCTGCTACATTTCATTAGGGTGGTTAAATATTAACCTATTGTAAAATGTATTGTTCTTTGTAAATGAGATTTTTTCTTAAAACTTAAATCTAAATATTTTCTTTTAAGCAAAAAATGTTCATGTTTTTGTATTATCAATGTTCTTGTCCATAGATTTATACTGGAATCCAAGTTTCAATTGACCGGCTTTAAAATGTGCGTTATAACAATACGCCTGAGTCTATGCTAAACGTCTCTGTTGAAATTTTATTAAGCATTCAGTAATAAACAGAAACGCTTATGACCGTGCTTTTAAAGCGCAAAGAATAAAGGTAACATTAGTTTCACTTATATTTTAGGTTTCGGCTCATTATTTTTACAATATTTCTTACGTACTGGGGGCACCTAGAAACTGTTAACTTCTAAACATGTAATAGGAGGACCATTAAAGCTCTTATTGTAGATTGCGTCTTTAGAAGTAAAACTGCAGTTGTCTCGAAAATTGATTTTTGTACTGGGTCTAGGAAGCATAGAACACAATTTTTGTGGGTCTGATCGTGATGTGGCTTGCAGCGTAACGTGTGTTAAGATTTACATTTGTGACTGTTTCCAATAAATTCTTCGGTCTCTTTGCAAGTGATGAACGCTCCCAATAAATGCTCATTAATATCATTCCTTTTTGAACTCTCCTTAATATGATATGGAAAAATCCGTTCCAAACATTTAAAGAAACGAGACAGAAGTTCCAATGTCTCTTGAATACTTGTGCGTACCTTTGTTTTTCATACTAATATTCGCAATTACAACTGTCAGGTCGGTGCAATTAATTTATCTGAATCTCCAACATTACTGACCTAGAACATTTCTCCGCTTTAAATGAAGCTGGACGACCTGTCTGTATCTCAAAACTGTTTATTAGGTAGTTGGTTGCTGTCGGAAAACGTCATTACGAAGTGTCGAATTTTTATAAAGGTTGTGATGAGTCTTGAAGCTACGCGAATAATGAAATATTAAAAGTTATGTCCATTAGAAATGTTTACTTAGTCTGTCTTCTATTAATATTATAGTACTGCTGAGGTCACATATCTAGATTACACAGACAGGGAAGTAGAAACAGGAAAATTTGCGAATCCGTTCCACGCAGTAATGTTTCTAGTACAGTATTGTAGAAATGTTCTTGCAAATATTGATCTACACATTGTCTTGCAAATATTGATCTATAAGACAGCAGCACGAATTGGCCCAGATAAGTGAACTGTCTGTAAAGACCTAGAATAACAAGATGTAAAACAAATAACAAAAATTGCAGCGACGGTATTTTCTTAGTTCTTCGCAAAGGCTTTGTAAGTAAGTATGCCACATCTTTCCACCCCCCAAAAAATAGCCGCGTGTGTGTTTTGAAATATTTTTTGTTGTTGTTTAATGATTTTGCTTATGAGTGCATGTCATCTCGCTCCAACATCCTGTGGAGTATGTGCAGCTGTGCGTACCTGTTCATTACAACGCTGCAACTTGTATTACAGTGACCTGTCTATTCGCGCAGAGGGACCGCCCTGCGCCGGAGGCAGATCATTGCTGTCCGCGTCAGCTGTTTGCGGGCCGTCGCGTGCACTCTCTTTCGCTCCGGCGTTAGCTTCAAAGCGAGGCGTAGTGCCCGTGCCGCCGGTGACCGCTGCTCATGACGACGTATGGGGCTTTAATTTCGGTCCGGATGCATCGACGCGAGCTCTCCCGCCGAATAATCTCGTCCCGGAGCGTGCACGGCATGTCTACACACAGCTGCCCGTTTGCACAGGTGTTCCACAAGGGTTGATAAATGAGCCATGTCAAAACAAATCCTATGCTTCTATTTGAATGCGGTTCCAAAAAGGTTCTTCCCTCTTTTCATTGTCGAATGTTTTAAAATACTTTTTTTATTATATACTATACTATGGTTCTCATTAATATTTGCTATGATAATTTTTGTTACCACATTACTATTGGAAAATACCACTTACTTATTTCACTTCTTAGTCGTTCTATTTCAGTTGTAGTTCCGCTCCCATCCTTAATTTTTAAAATATAAATGACGAGTTAAGGAAAGATATACAGGATATTTTCTTTTTTTCTGTAATCAGACCTTACTAAATGTTATCAATAATATATATATATATATATATATATATATATATATATATATATATGTATATATATATGTATATATATATATACACGCAACTCAAGACTTCTTTTAATAGTCATGAAGTAGTGGATAATCCGCCATGTTTGTATATGGTGTATTTGGAACTTTGAATAATAGCTTTGGGTCCATTAACAAGGGAATAACACAAAGATAAATTTCTCAACAACTCAAAATTTTCGAAACGTAATACAACAATGAAGTTCGTTGAACTCACATGCATAAACCGTGGTCGAAAGATTTTTTAAAATATGACAGTCCAGTACTGTGCAATAAAATGGATCCATATACGTCGCTAAAATTGTTTTGATGTTGTTTGAAGCGGTGAAAACGAAGTGTGAAGGTGACAAATACGCAACGTACAAATATCATCAATACCATTTTAAAAGTGGTTCTCCAAACACCAACTTCCGGGTTCGACCCGGTTAGTGCGGAAGTAAAATAACTCCTTTCAAACATATTGTTTTTCAGGTATCTGTGATTCATTTAAATACAAAGTGAATTCTGTTAAAACACAATACATATCTTTAAAATAATAAATTTGTGATAGTATACTATTCCATGGATAAAAGAAAATCTCAACACGAATCCGGATTCGTTCCAACTAACTACGCGTTCCATGTCGGATGAAAACATACCTTGACAGGCGTACCAGGGTGGGGGTGCATACAGGACGATTCGCAATTGCCTTCACCGTCTTATAACACTGTTCTACAAAAGAGCACTTTGGAAGTTTTTTCTCTAAATAACAAAATTACCGTAATTTGTGGTTGAAAAAACAAATACGACAATAATTCTCCTTAGTTAGCTGTAGTTTTCATATATATTTGTTTCAAGTAGAAATATTAAAAGTATACTTCGGAAGTTTTTATTTTCTGAATATAGACACAAGTACTATAACTTTGTGTCGAGAATAATTTCATCGGTTATTCTTTAAACCCCATTAGTCCTCTCATGTAAAGTTTTTTTTTTGAGAAAATAGAGCTGAATGATTGATACATTCTTCCATGTGTAAATCCCATAAATAAATGAATAGAAGGGTCGTGAGAACACCGCAAAATTTTGGTTTGATTTTGAAATTTTGTAAGACATTGTCTTGCAGGATAATGTATGACTGTGTATGAATGTAGAACGTGTGTATACACTGTGTATGACTAGAATGTCACTGACAAAGAGATTGGTTCAAAAGGAGTTTCAGTGCGGAAATATTCCTATGTAATATCATAGAAACATTTCAAGCAACTATTTCTGATATATGGATCATGTTTGATTAGATGCACATTGGCATTTCACGTAATATTGTTATAAAACAAACTGAATCTCCAATGTACATTTATTTACAAGTTTATGTAAGTAATTCCTGATTTTTTGAAAGCCCTTAAGAGAGAAATTTTTATATAACTCCAGAATTGATATTTATACAAGTAAATTACGTTTCTCAATGTCATTATCACCCAAGGGGAGAATACTGGCGATTTCATGTATAGCATGCCATGAAGACATTCTATACAGAGAAATAAAAATACCCATAACCCATCACTACTGTGATCAGGTGAGCCAACTCGATCTCTGTTAAATTTCGTAAAAATTCCTGATAATTTATATGGGCTACACCTAAGAACCAGGAGCTAACAGCAAATTTTAAATGTCATTTGGGTTTCTTCCATTATCAAATTAACAAGAAATGACCATTTTCAATCCGGAAAGAACCCATGCAATCCCGCTGCATAAGGATAGGATACGTCGTGTGTGATATTCTAGCAATAGACGCGCCCCAAGGTGACAAAATTTCCAAACCACTCGACGGTACAATGTCAGCTCGGCCCTCCGAAGTAGAAACGTACTGTGTTCCAAAGCGATGACTCCGTGAAAGCGGCGAAAGTTCGACTCTTCGAACAGACTCGTTATTCCGATGAATTGCGGATAAAATGATTGTACGCTGAGAGTTTGAAGGTTCACACGTTGTGCCTTAAGCCCACGTCATGCAACGAAATATATTACATTTGAATACGTATAAAACATTCTGTCGTAGGGAAGTTTTTCAGCGTTGACTATGTTCGACTTCGTTCGTATTACCAGTGTAATCCTTTTTCTGGTCATTTGAAAAGAACGGCATTTTTCACATTGCTTTTCGCAGAAATGGCATCATTTAAAAACAAACAAAATAGGAAAAACAAAACAAAACAAAAACAAAACAAAACAAAACAGAAGCTTCCCTTCGCGAATCCGAAGGCAATTTTGAACCATCCTGTATTTCGTTCTTCCGTTCAGCGCGTTGTGTCAACGCCGCCGAGCGCGCTGGCCGGTTCGCTTGTTTTCTTTAGCGCGTTGCGGCTGCGCGTTCTGAGTGCGCCGCCGCGGGGAAGGCCGGTGCAACTGGCGGGCGCGTTTGCGCTTGTGTGTATGTATGTGTGCGTGCGTGCGTGCGTGCGTTTGATTCCCATGCTGCAAAACGTGGGCAGCTCGACGAGGCCTCGGCCGTAAACATTATCTGACCCCGTGAGTTTAGACGTGAGGAGTAGACGGATTATTGATGAAGAGCAGAATTTTATTCTCGTGGTGAGTCAGTGTCTGTTGATTCCGGGCGCGTCAACTACTTACATCAATAGTCCCGTAAGTTATGTGCACGATATACCCCGAATTACTGATTGATTAGTTTTTCCGAGCATGTAATCTACTAAGGTCTTTAGTGCCGTAAATGTAGCATTAAGGTGAAGAAACGGCGATGGTGAAGGATGAAGGATAAGATGAAGGGTGGATGGTGAAAAATGAATGGTGAACTGCGTTGATAGTATACATGTGAAATGCGAGTTGGAATGATACGAAAAACACGCAAGTGACAAATGACCAAAAATACTAGTGTCTTTCGTGGGAGTAGAAAGTTCGGTCTTGTCTTAGCGCGTAAGTATAATTAAGGATTCCAAACATTTGAAACTCGAAAATTATTTTACATGCCTTAATTTGATTAGTTTACGAATTTGTAACTTAAAAGAAAGAAAACTGAGAATAGTTATCAGTAATATTAGAATTATTTGCGGGTTTCAGGCACACGCACTTGTAACTTCACAAAATAGTATGCGAATTTCCGACGAGCTTAGTGTAGCTTACGTAACGAGTAACTGGCGAAGTTAGTGAAAGACATCTTTAAGGAAGTACGAATAAATGGATTCAACGAGAATTTTTATGAATCTACTTACTAGAGACTCAGTGTATGTGGTTTAATTTATCCAAACGTAGTTTATGACATGTATGATACAGTGTACGCCTTGTGCAGACAGGTCAGTTCTCTGCAATTCGTCGTAAACATACTTTTCCACGTCAATGAATTCAGTATTGAACGAGAATGTATACATTATGATGTAATATTCTTTAAGGATACGATGTGTGTTTTATTAATATTTAAACATCTTTGCGGGAAACAATATGCAACGTGCAATTAAAAATTCAAACATTTCAACATAAGTTACGTGCCGAAACGCAACTCATGCAAAATATTACGATGTTAACAAGAATTGACGCATCTAGGGATGGCTGTTATAGGGCTGCACAATGAACGCTGCTGTGCCGGCTTCATCTGACACAGAGTGGGTTTACGCGGGGTCAAAGGCTCGGTTTGGAGACCCTGATAAGGGCACGGATATTTTCACCAGTGACTGTGACGTAATAGCCTTGTCAGACAGACCAGGCGCCTACTGTGCGCGGCAAGCTTTCTTTTAAACTCGCGCTAAACACGTTTTATCCTGTAATTGTGTTCACGCGCACAAGAACAAATTGAGCGTACGTATTTGCATACACACGAATGCCGCAGCACGCGAATCCAACGCCAACAATGCCACCCAAAACACCCGACAACAGTTGCAACGCGCCGGCTATAAATAGGGGCGCGCCTGCCAGTGGAGCCGTGAGCAATGTTCGGAAAGCGCTCCATGTTATCGGCGCGACGCGGCCCCGGGATCGCGGGCGACCGGAGCACCAGACCGGATAATGCAAGGGGACGCGGCGAGTGGGTGTCGGCGCGGATATTTTTAGTCGCGTCCCGTTACCCACAGCCAGAGGGTGAATTTACGTGGGCGGGCGGGTTTGCACGGAGGGTGCAGAGCGTAGGACGGAGCGGGTAGGTCAGAAAAGAGCGTAGGAGACGAAAAGGGCGTGGGAGACGGAGAAAGGGCGTAGGGGACGGAGAAAGGGCGTAGGGGACGGAGAAAGGTCGTAGGAGAGAAGGAGAAAGGTCGTAGGAGAGACGGAGAAAGGGCGTAGGAGAGACGGAGAAAGGGCGTAGCAGACGGAGAAAAGGCGTAGGAGAGACGGAGAAAGGGCGTAGGAGAGACGAAGAAAGGGCATGGGAGAGACGGAAAAAGGGCGTGGGAGAGACGGAGAAATGTTTAAACATTTGATAAATCGTGAATTGTTTATCTTCATAAACAAGATACGGATGGCGAACTGTATAAGTATTCATAATAAAACACCATTTATTTTTCATTGGTTTCTGGAAAACGTACTTTCTTTCACGACCCTGTCAGAGTGGGTGGTCACTACGCAGCGTGGAGAAGATGTCAGAGCTGTCGCTTTTATGTTTTCAAGATTCTGTTTTCAGGATTGTGAACTTTACGTATTGATGGGACAAAATGTTCCACATCTCGATTTAGTTTATTAACATTCCGATTCGCGATATCGAGATCGAAATCTATTCCAAATCATATTCACCCACTGTTGATTTTTCTTTGGGTCTTTTTAAGACGACCTGATGGAGTGTGGGTTGCTGTGATTGCTTCTGTGGAATCTCGCCACCTGAATTCGAAATTGGGATCCACTGGCAGTTTCCTGTAGTGCGTAGGCCGCGATTGATGACAATCGTTCAGAATGAACTGGGCGTCATGGCAGAAAATAATATAATTTTTTTCATTTGAAAGAGACAAATTTGTAGCTGTGGGTGTTTATCAGAAAAGAGTTCAAGTCGACTGCAGTAAATCTGCATTATCCATCTGAAGCTTTTGAAGTTTGATAGAACAAAATATTTCTGTTACCTCTACCTTTCGGTTTTTTTTCACTTCAGATTCACGTTGAAGCTTCATTTTAAAATAATCAAAATTTTTCTTTTTTTCTTTTTACATTTGAAATATCAAGATTCCACAGGTTCATTATTGCGTGTGTTTCTGATGGTTGCTGCAAAAACGTGTGGGCGGCCATTGCCGAAAAACGTACGAGGGTGACCGAAATCAAAACCTTATCCCTCGCTGGAAGAACCGGGTAGTTTCCGCCTCATCATTTAACCTGATAAGCCTAAATATTCGATATCTCATTTTCTTTATTTCCTCTTTCAAGTTTAAGACAGAGAGATTCCAATCTGATCCAACTCATATTAAACCACTATCGATTTTACAAAGTGACCTGGCCCCCTTTCTCAACTTTTCGTGGGCGAAGAGCGAGGTAGTGTGTGTTGGTGTGATTGCCGGCGAGGGATCTCGCTGCCGGGAGTCGAAGTCGGGTCCCAGGGTGGAGGCTTCTGGCTCAGCGGAGGCGTATCCTTTGGGATGACGTCACCGAAGCCGTCCACACCCACGCCGTCCACACCCACGCCTCTAGAGGGAAAAAAAGCGAAGACTCCAGGCAATCTCTCGGACGTGGCCCGCTCTCAAAGCCAGAGAAGAATAGACACAAAGCCTCGTATATAACCTTCTCCGCTAATGGCGTCTTCGGCTGGGCTTAATATGAGAATAGTTTCTCAGATTTCAAGCTACAACAAAGATGCAGCGTACTGGAGTCATTATTTGCGATAGAACAAGTTGATTGATATGTGTGTCGGTAAATGATTCTAGAACGCTGTTTGCGAGAAAATGTCCTTTCTCTGGTCAGTAAGTTGTGAAGTTTGTTATTATTTGTTACGCAGTTCCCTGATTTGTTCTCTGGGCAGATTTTTCCTTAAGGCGGTTTCTTAGTAGAGTGACTACATCTAGAGGCTTGTTAAAGTTTCCATGTGTCGATATTCAGTCTTGTGATTCGAGTTGTATAATAAATCAACTGTGTTGACCACAACACATTCGCAAACATACATCGTTAAAGCAAAGGATAATTTGTAACCTATTTTCCATTGTCCTTAAGTTTTAAAATAGGTCTTTCGCTTTTGTTTATTCTTGTTTACGTTAGAACACATAACATATTTCAATTAAACAAAGAGCTGACATGATTGTGAAGGAGATACTACTCATTCGATTTTCTTGTATTACATCGTAGATATTATTATTATTATTATTATTATTATTATTATTATTATTATTATTATTATTATTATTATTATTGTTGTTGTTATTATTATTATTGTTACTGTTATTATTATTAAAGTTATACCATAACTATTCTTAGAACAAAGGGAATTTGCTTTCCAATGAAGTGCGCCAGTGTAGTATATTCCAGGAACCGCAAGGTTTTCCCATTTAGCACCTAACTGCAGGAATGACAGAGGAAAATGCCATTAAAGTACTCAGGCACACTTACTGCTTGGTCTATGTTAAGTTGAATCCAATGACATAAAGTTAAAATAAACTGATTAAATTAATTTAATAATAATATTATTCCGCACACGTACCTCAGACCCATTTTCGGGATGGGACGTGTTCTGATAGTAATGTGATGTGGTAATAGAAAAAATGGAACATTTTTAAACATAGTTTTAGTTTTTCTGTTTTGGATATTCCGTTTAAAAATGTCATAAATAATCTGCAAAAAAATTCCAAGTGAATGATTTTATACAAACCTAAATGCACGTCTTTGATAAACATTTTTTAAATCAGATATGTTTTGGTTTATAAACGATGATCTTTTGTAAGTTTACTTCTTATTTAAAACTTGAAGTAAGAAGGCACGG